CCCGCTCCTCCTCGCAGCGGGCGGCTCCGCAGCCCGGGTTCCCCGTTCCCAGAACCTTCTCCCGAGTTGGGATCCAGACGCGCAGCCCAGCCTGGTGCGGGCCCCCGTGCGGCCCCGGCCTGCTCCCCGCCATGGCCTCGACCGGCCCGGGCCCCCGGCTCCTGCTGCTGCTGCTCCTGCTGCTGCCGCCGCCTCCTGCGGCCTCCGCCTCCGACCGGCCTCGGGGCAGCAAGCCGGTCAACCCAGGTGAGGACCCCGGAGCGCTAGCGGGCCGAGCGGGCGCTGGACGGACAGTGTCTGCCAACCTGGCCGGGGAGGGTCGGGGCTCCAGCCCCGCACGCGCCTGTGGGCGGTATCACGCGGCCCCTTGCCCACTCCCCACCCTGAACTGGAGTTTTCAGCCTCTCCAGGCAAACTGACCCCGAATTCCTGGATGTCACTCCCACCTGGCTCTCACTGGGGTCAAAAATGTACCTGGGTGGGGAGAATTTAGAGGGAACTGGAAAGAAGAGGAAAAGGACCGAAGTGGAGTTAGGGAAAAGGATCGATGGGGTCCTGCAGAGAGTCAGGCACGTGGCTGGGAAGTCTCAAGTACCCATTCCTGGCTGACCTTAGAGAAGTTGCTGGTGATCACCGTGGCCACCGCGGAAACAGAGGGATACCGGCGTTTCTTGCAGTCTGCTGAGTACTTCAACTATACTGTGCGGGTGAGGAAGGGACCCTGGGTGAGGAGTGGGCTGAGAACTGGTGCCGGGCTCCCACCGTGAGCCTGGGCAGCCCTCAGTCCTTGTTGATTGGATTCCTCCCTGGTATGTGGATCTCCCACAGACCCTGGGCCTGGGAGAGGACTGGAGAGGGGGTGATGTGGCTCGAACAGTTGGTGGAGGACAGAAGGTCAGATGGCTAAAGAAAGAAATGGAAAAGTATGCAGACCAGGAAGACATGGTCATCATGTTTGTAGACAGGTAAAAGAGCCAGGGATGGGGGGAAAAGGAGAGGGTGAACATGAGGAGGGATAAAGATGCTGAGGTTCCCAGCGGCCTCCTGTTCATCCTCCCCTTCCTTGCTCAGCTATGATGTGATTCTGGCTGGCAGCCCCTCAGAGCTGCTAAAGAAGTTCATCCAGAGTGGCAGCCGATTGCTGTTCTCTGCAGAAGGCTTCTGCTGGCCTGAGTGGGGGTTGGCAGAGCAGTATCCTGAGGTGGGCACGGGCAAGCGCTTCCTCAACTCCGGTGGTGAGTGGCAGAGTGCCTGAGATAGAGGGGCTAAGAGTGTTCCAGGTGCCTGGGGGCTGGAGGGACAGTGGGGCCAGGCCTTTAGGGACTTTGGATTTTGAAATCACCACCTCTCCTGTCCCCTCCACCAGGATTCATTGGCTTCGCCCCCACTATCCACCAAATCGTCCGCCAGTGGAAGTACAAGGACGATGATGATGATCAGCTGTTCTATACGAGGCTCTATCTGGACCCCGGGCTGAGGGTAGGTGGGGCCGGAGAGGGGCACTCAGCCTTGTACCTGTGGGAGGCCTCTGCCTGGGGGAGGCAGACGGAAGGGGATTTGGAGGTGTAAAGAGAAGAGGGTGGGAAATGATGTCATCCCACCTCCCGTTCATCTCCCTGCTCATCCCATCCAGGAGAAACTCAGCCTTAATCTGGATCATAAGTCCCGGATCTTCCAGAACCTCAATGGGGCTTTAGGTGAGGAAGAAGGCACTGGATGGTGGGCGACGAGGGGCCTACTGCTCGGGGTCCTGATTGGGAAGGGCTCCTGGTGGCCTGTGGCTCCCCTGAGTAAACCGCACTGGGCCAGCCTCCGTAACGAAGCAGCAGTGGGGCTTGTGCCGAGGTGCCAGCCTCCGAGATCTCACAGGGGAAGGTGCCTGGCTGTCCACCCTGTACCGATCCTCGGCCATGTGGACACTGGATCCTGAGGGCTAGTGGCTCACCCCAGGTCACACAGGGAGCAGGTGGAGCTGCAGGGTGGCAGCGCCTGGTCAGAGCTCTGGGGAGAGCAGAGGTTCCTGTCCCAGTGGAGCCACCGTCTAGGGGCCTTGCCGCCCAGGCACCCTCATCCCCTGGAGAAATTGGGACCCCACATTTAGAAGAAGCCATTGCTTGGCAACTCCCAGAGAAAGGGTGTGTAAAACCTGGCCTTCTTCCCCAGACGAGGTGGTTCTAAAGTTCGATCGGAATCGTGTGCGCATCCGGAACGTGGCCTATGACACACTCCCCGTCGTGGTCCATGGAAATGGTCCCACTAAGGTGCCCTTGTCTGCTCCATGTCCTGGGCACCCCCAGCCCCCTCCAAGTCCCTGAGCAGCAGAGGTGCTGGGAGAGCTTCCTCCATACCCTGCTGCCCCGTCCTCTGGGCCGACCTCCCTCACATTGCCCCTGCCCTCCTCCACCCCCCAGCCACTCCCCGTCTCTCCCTCACAGCTGCAGCTGAACTACCTGGGAAACTATGTCCCCAATGGCTGGACTCCCCAGGGAGGCTGTGGATTCTGCAACCGGGACCGGAGGACACTCCCGGGGGGGCAGGTGAGGAAGGGAACCAGGTTGGGGTTCCAGAGCACCCTGAAGTGTGTCAGGCAGGGGAGCTCTTGGGAACCCACTGGCCAACAACGGCTGAGGGGCAGAGGGGCCTGGGCTCTCCTCTGAGCTCAGCTGTTTGCGCCCCCCAGCCTCCCCCCCGGGTGCTGCTGGCCGTGTTTGTGGAACAGCCCACCCCGTTCCTGCCCCGCTTCCTGCAGCGGCTGCTGCTCCTGGACTACCCCCCTGACAGGATCACCCTCTTTCTGCACAACAACGTGAGAGCCCCGGGCCCTGCCCTGCCTGCAGCTTGCTCCCCTTCCCGCCTCGCCACCCTGGCAAGCGCTCAGCCCACCTCTCTGCCTGCCACAGGAGGTATACCATGAGCCGCACATCGCGGACTCCTGGCATCAGCTCCAGGACCACTTCTCAGCTGTGAAGCTGGTGGGGCCAGAAGAGGCCCTGAGCCCAGGCGAGGCCAGGGACATGGCCATGTGAGTGAGACCTGGTGGGGAGGGTGCAGGCCGCCACCCTGGACCACTCCATGGCCACCTCCACAGACAGCAGAGACCCTGGGTGGGGGCAGGACCATCCCTTATCTTCCCCTTGGGGTAAAGAGGGGTCCCCCACACCCCCTAGTCCCCTCCCCTCTCTGCTCCCTGTTGGGCTCATCTGTGTGGGTGTGTCACCTCCAGGGACACTTGTCGGCAGGACCCTGAGTGTGAATTCTACTTCAGTCTGGATGCCGATGCCGTCCTCACCAACATGCAGACCCTGCGCATCCTCATCGAGCAGAACAGGTGACCCCGCCCGGCTGGGCACCCCACATGTCCTGGCACCCCTAGCCACCTCACCCCTCCCCCCCTCAAGGCTCCCCGGGCCTCTGCCCAGCCCTCACCCCACCTGTCCCCAGGAAGGTGATCGCCCCCATGCTGTCCCGCCATGGCAAGCTGTGGTCCAACTTCTGGGGGGCCCTGAGCCCCGATGAGTACTACGCCCGCTCCGAGGACTACGTGGAGCTTGTGCAGCGGAAGCGCATGTGAGTCTTGGAGGGGGGGGGTCCGTCCTCCCCTGTGCAGAGATTGGACCCTCGCCCTGGCCCCCACTCTCAGGTCTAATGTGGCCACTAGGCAGCTGTGTCGTGGCTGTGGGGTAGGTCCTAGCTGTGGATAAGGTGGCTGAGACCAGCAGTGCTTGGCAGGCTCCAGGGCTAAGGTGTCCCGAGGTAGAAGCCTCTGGGATGGACTGGGCAGAATTTGGGGGTCTCCCACCTCGCTGACCCTGGTATCGCCACCTGCAGGGGCGTGTGGAACGTGCCCTACATATCCCAGGCATATGTGATCCGTGGGGAAACCCTGAGGACAGAGCTGCCCGAGAGGGAGGTGTTTTCGGGCAGTGACACTGACCCGGACATGGCCTTCTGTAAGAGCCTGCGAGACAAGGTGAGCAAGCAGGGCCTAGGGTACAGGGCCTGGGGCTGGGCGCTGGGAGGCTGAGGGGCAGCCACCGAGCATCACCTCTGCCCCTCTCACACCCACCCCACCCTGCGCCAGGGCATCTTCCTCCACCTCAGCAATCAGCACGAGTTTGGCCGGCTGCTGGCCACCTCCCGCTACGACACTGACCACCTGCATCCCGACCTCTGGCAGATCTTCGACAACCCCGTCGTGAGTGGCCCTCCCTCAGGGAATGCTCCTTCCCTGCCCTTGGCTAAGGATGTCACCAACACACAGGGGCTCCTGGGAAGGTCCCATGTTGCCGGGGTGGGGGGGTGGCCCAGAGAGGGTGGGAGCAAGGCTCCTCTCAGGCACCCCTACATTTCCCCAGGACTGGAGGGAGCAGTACATTCACGAGAACTACAGCCGGGCGCTGGACGGGGAGGGGCTGGTGGAACAGGTGAGCTGCTGGGGACTGCCTACCTGGAGACCCTGCTCCTGGGTCCTCCACTAGGACTGGCAGTTCTCAAACTGAGTTCCCAGGGACCTGGGGGTGCTCTGCTCAGGCAGGAGGGAGGCTAAGGCTGAGCAGGTGGGCCTCTAGCCCCAATCCGGGCGTCAATCACAGTGATTCTCCTTTCATCTTTTAAATACATAGATGTTTCTCAACTTAGGATGGGGCTGCGTTCCCTTAAGCCCATCGTAAAGTCCTCTGTCGTGAGTTGAGGACCCTCCATGTTGGTGTAATCATACCTTTAGAGAGGGCTGTACTGCTGGGCACAGTGGCACAAGCCTGTACTCCCAGCGACTCGGAAGGCTGAGGCAGGAGGATTTCGGGTTCAAAGCCAGCCTCAGCAACTTGGTGAGGTCCTAAGAAAATTAGTGAGACCCTGTCTCAAGATAAAAATCTAAAAATAACGGCTGGGCTTATAGCTCAGTGGTGGAACACTTTCCTGGCATGTGTGAGGCCCTGGGTTCGATTCTCAGCACCTCATATAAATAAATGTATGAGAAATAAAGGTCCATCAACAACTAAGCAAAAAAAAATTAATAAACATGCCTATGAAGGCTAGGGAGCTCAGTGGTGAAGTACCCTGGGTATGACCCCAGTACCAAAGAAAGAGGAGGGGTCGTGCTGCTGTGAGCCACTGTGCCAGTGCCGGTGGGGGGCTGGTCCCTCTTGCCATCTGTGTCCTGCCCCTCCCCCCTCTCTGCTGACCTCTCTTCCTGGCCTGGCCCCCACTCGGGTGGCCCTCCCCGCCCCTCTGTCTTTGCTTGCCTGTGTGTTGCATGTCCCCCATGCGCATCTCCCAGCCCTGTCCCCCTCTGCAGCCATGCCCGGATGTCTACTGGTTCCCACTGCTGTCAGAGCAAATGTGTGATGAGCTGGTGGAGGAGATGGAGAGCTATGGCCAGTGGTCGGGAGGCCGGCACGAGGTGAGGGGAGAGAGGCCGGGCTCCCACAGGCGGACTCTGGGTCTGGCAGAGAGACTGTGAAATTGGGAGTGGGTGCAGTGAGGGGGCCCAACTGGGAGGGAGGCCCAGAGGCACCGTGGCATCCACTCAAGGCATATTCAGTGAGCTGCTGGCCCAGGTGGCACAGTGCAGGGGCCAAGCCCACAGGCCAGAGCCAAGCAGGGGCCCTTGGGTAGCCGTGGGAGGAATCTGGGGCCTTCACTGTAGAGGCCACAGCTTCCTGAGACTCCAGGCATCAGCGAGTAAAGCTGAGAGAGAGACCAGAAAACTGTTCAGATGGAGGGGACATAAGCGTCAAGGCCTAGGGACAAGGGAAGGAAGGAGGCCAGTGCTGCCCCCAGGTGCTCAGTGCCCACTGCCCTTAGGATTCAAGGCTGGCTGGGGGCTATGAGAACGTCCCCACCGTGGACATCCACATGAAGCAGGTGGGCTACGAGGACCAGTGGCTGCAGCTGCTGAGGACGTACGTGGGACCCATGACTGAGAGCCTGTTCCCTGGCTACCACACCAAGGTGGGCCCCGCCGTCTCCCCCAGCTGGGGGTCTCCAGGCAGGCCACTCATCCCCTGTAGCCCCTGGAACCCTATGGACTTGGGTCCCAGCAAGGAGCTGCTACAGGAGGCAGCCCAGGGCGGGGAGCGGCCAGGTGGAGCCCCAGGGCGGCCTTGATACTGGTCAGCATCGGGCCCTTCCTGGCCCCTCCTGGACAGGAGCTCCTTGTCATCCTGTCAGAAGAGTCCGTGGACCCCAGCCCTCCCAGCAGCCTCTCCCTCGTGTCCCTACAGACCCGGGCAGTAATGAACTTCGTGGTCCGCTACCGGCCGGATGAGCAGCCCTCTCTGCGGCCACACCACGACTCATCCACCTTCACCCTCAATGTCGCCCTCAACCACAAAGGCCTGGACTATGAGGTGAGCCGCAGCCAGCCCCACTCACACCCGCACTTCACCCTGGGCCTCCTGTCCCTGCCTGGGCCTTTGGGCAGTTCCCCAGGTGTTTTATGAGTGTCGTCTCCTGGATCCTTTCTGGGGGCACCTCCCTCTGTCCCCCTTGCCTGTACCACAGCCCTGCCTGCCAGGCCCCCTCGGACCTGCTCACCCCTCCATCCCCCATGGCTGCTCACCGCTCCTTCTCTGTCCCCTTCCCTCCTCAGGGAGGTGGCTGCCGCTTCCTGCGCTATGACTGTGTGATCTCATCCCCGAGAAAGGGCTGGGGACTCCTGCACCCTGGCCGCCTCACCCACTACCACGAGGGGCTGCCCACGACACGCGGCACTCGCTACATCATGGTGTCCTTTGTCGACCCCTGACGCTTAGCCACTCTGCCAAGCCTTCCCTGCCACCGTGCCTTGGGGGGCCTGCCCCCCCAATCCTTGGAGAGGTGGCTCTGCCCATCTCCTCTCTTCCTGAGTATGTCCCTTGCGCCTGGGACAGAATGTGTCACCTCACCCCACCCAAGGCCCTCTCAGGAAGCCCCTGGAGCCCCACTCCACTCTGCAGCCCCCGGGGCTCATGGGAAAGGGTTCCTGGAGTCCCCATGTGATAAATTATTAAGGTTTCTCAGCCCCCTCCCAGTAAAGGAGGATTTGTAACTCTCGGGTCCATGTGTCATCTTTCATCTACCTGTTGACCTCGTCCCCCTTCCTGGCACCCAGAGGAGAGGGGAGACCCTGATTTCCTCCAGAGGGAGGAAGAGAAGCAGGGTGTTCCGCCTGTGGAGGGGCCTGTGGAGGAGCCTGGCAGCTTCCCGGGGGCCCACAACCTCTATCCCCTTTGCTGCCTGAGCTGGAGAGTGCTTGAGAAGGCTGCAGCAGCGGAGGACGCAGGGTCAGACTCGGGGTCAGGTGCAGATGAGAGCCCTGAAGAGGGAGGGGTGGCGAGCACTGAGCCAGGCTCCAGGGACAGTGCTGGGGAAGCAGATCCCTCCGGAAGCTGGTCTCCAATAAGGAAGGGCAGGGTGGAACCCTGCCTGCCACCTGCCAACAGCTGGGACCTACGCTTTTACTGGGACAAGATCTGGAGAGCCCTCTGGAGGAAGCCCTGGGAAGCTTCCTGGAATAGGAGAACTTGGAGCACGCTCAGAGAGGGGAGACTCCTGAGAGCTGGTCCAGAGTCCAGCCTTCAATCCTTAATCCTCACAGCCAGCCCAACACTAAATCCTCTAGACTTATCTCCCTTTGAAGCCCTTTTCAAACTCAGCAGGCTTGTTTATCTATTCTGGGACATTCCTGCCTTTGGACCTCTCCCCACCCAAAGCTAGGATCCTCCCCTCCCTCCCCCTGCCCAGCCTCCCTGAAAACCTCACTACTGACACCTTCCTTACTGGTAGGGGGGCTGGTCATCGCTCCCCATGGGTGAGCATCTTTCTGGCCAGACTTCCAGAAAGATGTCCCTCTCACTTCATCTGCCTCCACCCTCATGCTGTGACCTGTGGGTGAAAGTGGGCTGGGCAGGGACAGGAGAAAACACTCCTGGAAGGGTCCCTGGATGGGGAGGTCTGCAGCAGAGTGAGGCAGGCAGGGACAGGGACAGAAGGAGTACACCCAGGCTTTGTGACAGGGCCTGATCACCGGAAGCTGGCTGTGTCTGTCTTCTCCATTCATTTATTGACACCTGAACTCTAGGTGCTGAGTGAGTCACATGATGGGCATGATAGCTGTCCTGTCCTCTCCTCACTTAACAGTCTGGAGGAGATGACCTTAATAGGAGAATTGCCCCAGAGATGAGAAAGTATTTTATGGTAAAGAGCATGGAACAAAGGCACCTGTGGGGGTGGGGATGATCAGCCATCCCTAAAGAAATGACATTCAGCAGGATGCCTGGTACATCCCAGGAGCTTGGGGGCTGAGACAGGAGGATTGGGAGTTGAAGGGCAGCCTCAGCAATGGCGAGGCGCTAAGCAATTCAGTGAGACCCTGACTCTAAATAACATACAAAATAGGGCTGGGAATGTGACTCATTGGTGGAGCGCCCTGAATTCAATCCCCAGTACCAAAAAAAAAAAAAAAAAAAGAGAAGTGACATTCATACTAGCAGCTCAGGAGGCTGAGGCAGGAGGATTGCAAGGTCAAAGCCAGGCTCAGCCCAGTCCAAGAAAATTAAAGTGACATTCCCTCACTCATCTCCACAGGCCTCTGGTCAATATTGGGGATAGGTCAATACTCTCAAGAGCATGTCCCACTGTTTAAAAGGCCCTGTCTCCAGGGGTTCATCAATCTTTAGCCAGTCCCACAAAGCCCTCCTCTCTGGAGTGACTCCCCCAACTGCCCCAGAGGCCTGAGCTGCTCCTTAAGGAATAGGCCCTGCCCCCAGGATCAGGCCTGGTGACTATAAGATTTTCAAGTTGTTCTCCCTGGTGTCCAGAGCCCTGCCCTTCACAGCATGCCAGGATCTCTACTGGCCTGGCTCCTGAAGAGGCCTGGGCTCTGACCACCAGGACACTCAAGGCCTTTCTCCTTGCTCCTGGCCACACTCCCAGTCATTTAGGTGTGGTCCTATTGGTCATAGCCTGTGGGCTCAGGGACTGATATTCCATCTCATTCAGGCTGCAGAGGTTCAGGGGGCAGGTCAGCAACAGGGGCGGAACCAGGGGCGGAACCAGGGCCAGGGGTCAAGGTCAGTGGATTGAGCCAAAAATGGTCGATAAGCATTTGTAGATTGTCCCTATGTGACTCCCCTCTGCGGAATGGAGGCCTCTCCCAGCCTCCTTTGCCGGAGTCTCCAAGCATTCGCGGTCCTGCAGTGGGTCTTCTCCTTCTTGGGACTGGGTGAGTCCCCAGAGCCTGAGGATCAGGCAAACCTGGCACGTGGGCTCTGCTTCCCCATTCTCCAGAGGAAGACAATGTAGGGCTCTTTGGGCTCCCGAGGGGAGTCTGAATGCAGCGGAACTAGGAAAAGGCTGAGGGGAGGCTGGGCTTGAACACCTGAGCCCTGAGTGCGCCTCCCTTGTTCTCCAGGCTCCGTGTGCCTGGTGGCCCTGCTCCTGGCTCTCCTAGGCCGGGCCTGGGTCCTGGTTGTCTTTTACCTGATCTGGCTCTATGGAGACAGAAGCACACCCAGGGCTGGCGGCCGGCGCTCAGCCTGGGTCCGCAACTGGGCCATCTGGAGACATTTCCGTGACTACTTCCCCATATCGGTGAGGCCTGGGAAGGTGTAGTGGGGATGGGGCTTCAGGACACTCTTGGGACAGTCATCCCCAAAGCCCAATCTCACCTGCTGGATGGGGTGCCCTCTGCTCCCCAGCTAGTCAAAACCGCAGAGTTGGACCCCTCCCGGAACTACCTCTTTGGCTTCCACCCTCACGGAGTCCTGGTGGTGGGGGCCTTTGGCAACTTCTGCACCGAGGCCACAGGTTTCTCCCGCCTCTTCCCTGGCCTCAGGCCACACCTGCTCATGCTGCCCTGCTGGTTCCAAATCCCTATCTTCCGGGACTACATCATGACCAGCGGTAAGGAGGAGGAAGTCCAGGCTCAGGAGCCTGACCCCAAGCCCCCGCTGTCATTTACCGGTTTCTCCCCTCCTCTCCGGGCTCCTAGGCCCAGCTCCGCCTTCCCAGTGTCTTCCCCTGAAAACCCAGGCGTCGGGTCCCCTAATCTCTGCCCTCCTCCAGGATTGGTCTCCTCTGACAAGGCCAGTGTTTCCTATCTGTTGTCCCGTCCTGGGGGCGGCCAGGTGGCCGTCCTGGCCGTGGGAGGGCCCCTGGAAGCGCTGGAGGCAAAACCCGGAGCCTTGAGCTTGCGGATTCGGAAGCAGAAGGGATTCGTCAAGGTGGCCCTGGAACACGGGTGAGGAGCGTCGGGTGGCTGGGGGGTCCACACGGGCTGCCCACGGGGAGGAGCACCGCGCGCCCCGCGGCCGGGGTCAGCGGTGCGCCTTCCCCTCCAGGGCCTCGCTGGTGCCTGTCTTCTCGTTTGGGGAGAATGAGCTCTTCCGGCAGTTCCCGAACCCCCGGGGCTCGTGGGTGCGGAGGGCGCAGGAAGCGCTGCAGTCACTGCTGAGCGTGGCCCTGCCGCTGTTCCACGGCCGCCTGGGCCTCCTGATGCCCTTCCGCTCGCCCATCCACACCGTCGGTGAGCCCGGCCCCTGCGCTCCGGCCCGGCGCCTGCTCCCTGCTCCCCTGCTTCCCGGCTCCCCGGCTCCCTGCTCCCTGCCCGCTGCGCCCTGGTTAGGCCCTGGTGTCCCGGCTCTGCCCCACGCGTCTGGCACGTTGACCTTGTCCTCCGGGCCAGCCTTTTGCGATCGCCCCAGGCAACTCTATCCTGGCAGATCCCCGTGGCCGGCGGCAGGGAGGGTGGGGGGCAGGCCGAGCATCCTAGTGACCGGCCCTGACGCCTCGGGTTCCTCCCGCAGTGGGTGCAGCGATCCCAGTGCAGCGAAGCCCGCGGCCCAGCCGGGCGCAGGTGGACGCGCTGCACACGCTCTACGTGGAGCGCCTCACGCAGTTGTTTGAGGAGCACAAGGAGCGCTATGGAGTCCCCGCAGACAGGCACCTCGTCCTCACTTAGGCGCGCCCTGCTGGCCCTGCCTTTTCCCCTCGGTGACCGCAGGTGGGGGAGTGGAATTAAAAATTGGAACAGACCTACGCGTGTGTGTGTTTGTGCCCGGTGGGGAGGTCCAGCGGGCGCCAGCTCTCCTGGGGAGCCTTGACTCCCCAGGGACCTGCAAACAAGTCTTGCCAGGGGCCCCTGCTCAGCTGCATTGGAGATCAAAGTCTCAGCTGGGATCCAGGCTCCCCACTGGGACCCAGTGAGGGGGCTGGCCAGCTACTACCTGCCCCCTGCCCACCTCACCTCCTCAGGCACCGGGTGGCGCTCCTCCCCTGCACACCCACTTCCCCGACTCCCAGCCCCGCCCAGAGGCTTGCCCAGACCAACTGACCAGAAAAAGTTCAAAGATTAGACCAAAAAGCCTAGAGACTGCTGAGGCTCCAGGTCCAGAGATCTCCCCACACCTCCAGGGGTAACCTGCCAGCAGCCAGAGTGCCAAACCTTCATCATCTGTCCTGCTGGGATGGGCGGCTCCCAGGTCCTTCAGTCCTCACCCTCCCTCCAGGGGAAAACCCTGCAGAAGCAGGCGCTAGAAGTAGCAGGTGCCTTCCAATATGTGCTGACCATCATCTTTATGGGTGAGTGGGCAGGGTGGGGCATGACTGCAGGGAACCAGGTCACAAGGGCACTGAGGGTCTGGATGCCCCTGGGGCCAAAGGACAGGGCCAGGGCCAGAGGAGAAGGCCAGGGCTTGGTGTTGGAAGCTGGGTGGGACTGTGGGTGCAGGCGGTAGGGAGGGGAGAGGCTGGACTTAATGACAGAATTGCAGAAGCCAGTCTGGTTTTCTGGGTCACCTCCCCCCAGGCCCGTTCTTCACCCTTCTCATGGTCTACCTCCTCTTCACGCCTCTCTGGGCCTTCTCTGTCCTCTACTTGGTGTGGCTCTACCTGGACTGGGACACACCTAACCGAGGTGAGCTCTGGACAGGGTCCTGGGTAGTGACAGAAGGTAAGCCGGTGCTGCCGGGGACCCTTCCACCCCCATCTCTGTCCTGCAGGTGGAAGGCGCTGCATGTGGATGAGGAACTGGTCGATTTGGAAACACCAAAGAGATTATTTTCCAATCAAGGTGATGGGTCACCACCCAGAGAGAGGGTCACCTCCCCCACCACATGCCTCCTCACCCCTCCCCATCCTGGATCCTGTACCCTGCTGCCAAAGCTCAGGCAGTGGCTGAGAGAGTGGGCTCTCCGAGTTCTTGACCCCATCCTAGGACCTTGACCTCTGAAGCCTGTTGGGGCAGAGGACACCTCTTCTTAGCTGGTGACTTACCCGCTGTGCCCCCTCCTCATCTTGCCCAATACCCTGCAGCTAGTGAAAACAGCAGAGCTGCCCCCTGACCGGAACTACGTGCTGAGCTCCCACCCACATGGAATCATGGCCAACAGCATCTTCTGTAATTTCTGCACCGACAGCAACAACTTCTCCCAGCTCTTTCCTGGGCTTCGGCCCCAGCTGACCACGCTGGCTGGCCTATTCTGCCTCCCAATCTACCGAGAATACATCATGTTCCATGGTGAGCTTGAAGTTCAACGGGAGGAGGCATACAGAGGCCAGAGGGCTCTCCCCGGCCCCAGAACTCCCCCCACACCAGGACCCTCACTCAGGACAGGGACCCGGCCTGAGCATTGGCATGGGGTCACAGTGGGCCCCAGTTGGGGATGCTGGTGCCGGGACAGGGGAGGTGGGGTTTTGAAGGAACGGAATGTGGGGCTCTCTCTTCCAGTACTAAAGGGTGGGGCTGAGGGGCTGGGGAGTCTTGGGGGAGGTGGTGACTGCCCCCCCCCCCCGCTGCTCATGTCCACAGGATTGTGTTCCGTGAGCCGCAAGAGCCTGGACTTCATCCTGTCACAGCCCCAGCTTGGGCAGGCAGTGGTCATCCTGATTGGGGGTGCCAAGGAGGCCCTGTATGCAGTCCCAGGGGAGCACCATGTCGTACTCAGGAGACGCAAAGGCTTCGTACGCCTGGCCCTGAGGCACGGGTGAGTGGACGAGCAGGAGCCGGAGGCTGGCTGAGGGACCTGTGCTTCCTCAGCCCCTGATATCGAGGTCCCTGTAGCTGGGAGTTGTGTCCCACATCTGGAAGCTCCTGTCAGCCCTGGAGTATCTTTCTCTCTGATCAGCGCTGTCCTGATTCCCCCAGGCCCCGCTGCTGCGAGTCAGGCTGGGTCAGAGTCCAAGTGGCAGGGCCCTGCAGCTCAGAAGCCCTGACCCTCTCTCAAAGGTCAGACCTGGGACTGAGCAGGGACATTCTCTTGCTGTAGGTTGTCAATAGAAAGACCAAATGAGAGAAGGAATATGGGAAGGCCACATGCCACACGACCACATGCCAAGAAATGCGAGCCCTTTCTTCTAACTCATGTGCTTCGAAAGGCCCTGGAATGTGGCGTCAAGAGGCCTGGGGAGGGCCTTGCTGCCCCTCAGGGTGATTGTGTGGCGGCGGCTGTCCAGGAGCTCAGTCACCCACCCTGTGTCAGTCAGCTATCCGTTGCTATGACAAATTATCACTGAGATAACCAATTTATTAAGAGAAAAGGTTAATTTGGCTCACAGTTTTGGAGTTTTCAGTCCAGCATTGGTTGACTCCATTGCTGGGGGGCCACTGGCGAGGTAGCACATCATGGCAGAAATATGTGGAGGCACAAACCACTTGCCTTATGGCCAGACACCAAAAAGAGGAAGGAAGAGGAAGAGTTTAGAGTCTATCTCCTTCAAGGCCATTGCCCCAAGACCCAAGACTTCCCACCAGGCCCCACCTCCTGAAGGCTCCCCTGCCACTCAATAGCACACTCTGGGGATGGAGCCAGCCACACATGGGCCCTTGGAGACACCTTTCCTCTCTTGCCCGCCTTCCCAGGGCCTCCCTGGTCCCCGTGTATTCCTTTGGGGAGAATGACGTCTTCAAATTGAAGACCTTTGCCGAGGACTCCTGGCAGCATCTGTGCCAGGTCACCTTCAAGAAGCTCATGGGCTTTTCTCCTTGCATCTTCTGGGGCCAAGGCCTCTTCTCGGCCAACTCCTGGGGTCTGCTGCCATTCGCTGTGCCCATCACCACGGTGGGTGAGTGCCATGTCCCGGGAAGAGAGTCACCCGTGGCCGCATGGGCAGCAGCGGAGGCCTCTTGCTCACCCGGGTCCCCCTTCCCTGTAGTGGGCCACCCCATCCCTGTGCCCCAGTGCCTCAGCCCCACGGAGGAACAGGTCGACCACTACCACGCGCTCTACATGAGGGCTCTGGAGCAACTGTTTGAGGACCACAAGGAGAGCTACGGTGTCCCTGCGTCTACCCACCTCACCTTCCTCTAGACCTGGCCTTGGACTCCCAGCTGAGCCCTGAGCCCAGGGTGCAAACACCTCTACTTCCTGCCGCTCTATCCTCCAATAAACGCCAGTTCTAGAAGCAAGCTTGTCTAGCTTTGTTGACCCCTCCCCTCCCGATAAGCCGCAGAGCTGCTGTGTGACCTTGGATAGGTCTCTCAACTTTGCTGAGCCCCTCGGTAAATAAAGACAATGGCTCCGCTAAGAGCTGCCAGGCATCAGGACAGAGTTGGAGCAGGTCGCTGCATGGAGAGGTATCTTCGAAGAGTGAGCAGGATTTAGGGAGAGGGAGAAGTTAGGGTGGGTGGTGGGACCCCATTTTGCAAAACAGAGCGTGATCGAGGACACTTGGAAGATGGAGGGATGGAGTGATCCCCGGGGTTGAAGAGAGAGAATTAAATATGAAGCTGGCTTCTGCCCCTCCCCCTCGGCTTTTAGATTTCCTGGGGGGCCAAGGATCAAGTGGAGACAGGATTTAATTTCCAGGGTGCTTCTGTTTCCTGCAGAGCCTGGGGCTCAGCAATTTGTGGACTGTGAAGATTATACCAATTAAGGTTTAAGGACCTGGAACAGAGAGGGGCCTACAGGAGGAGCCAGTTCTCTTCCTCGTGACTGTCCTCATTAAGACTTTATGGCCTAGCCAGGCATGGTGGGTCACGTCTGTACCCCAGCAACACCAGAGAACTAGGGCAGGAGGACCACAAGTTCAAGGTCAGCCTGGGCAATTTAGTGAAATCCTGACTCCAAATAAAAAAGCAGCCTGGGATGTAGCTCAGTGGTAAAGTGCCCCTGGGTTCAGTCCCCAGAGCCACAAAAACAAACAAGCAAACGAAAAATCTTCAGGGTTTAAGATTCTGTGTGGCCTCAGCATCTGCTAATCTTTTTTTTTTCTTTTACTAGGGATTTAATGTAGGGGTGCTTAACCACTGAGCCATCTTCCCAGCTCAGTGGTTAATTTTGAAACAGAGTCTCAGTAAGTTGCTGAAGGTCTTCCTAAATTGCCTTGACTGGCCTCAACTTGCAGTCCTCCTGCCTCAGGCTCCCAAATTGCTGGGATTATAGGTGTGAGGCTACCCTACCCTCTAACTTGTATCATTCTTTTTTTTTTTTTTTAAGAGAGAGGTGAGAGAGAGACAGAGAGAATTTTTTTTTAATATTTATTTTTTAGTTTTTGGCGGACACAACATCTTTGTTGGTATGTGGTGCTGAGGATCGAACCCGGGCCGCACGCATGCCAGGCGAGCGCGCTACCGCTTGAGCCACATCCCCAGCCCTATATGCCGACTGGCTCTGTGTCTGTAGCCAGGTCTAGAACAAGAATAAACTTGTCAGGATGTAATTGGAACTGTACCTTCGCTTGCCTTCCATTGTCCCATAACTTATGGAAGAACTTCCCTTTGTCTCTGGAGGAGGATCTAGCAGTTCCATGACTCATCTGCTCAGCCTCAGATACCAAGTTCTACGTTCCTGCCCCACCCTCCCGAGTTTCTGGGATTACCGGTGTGTGCCACTAAACCCATCTTTTACATTCTTTTTAAACCAGGCGAAATCTGATGTGTAATTTACACTGCCAACATATTTCAGTTTAGATGCTAAACATCCATTGGAAACATGTGACCCTCCGTGTCTTAGTCTACTTGGGCTTCTACAACAAAATACCACACTCTAGACAGTTCATGAACAAAAGAACTTTACTTCTTATGGTTCTGGAGTCT